CATGGAAACATACATCACTACTTCACTTGGTTGCTGCCATGGACTGCATCAATGAAGAAGCAACACATACAAGACACTGAACAGTTTTGGGAGATCGTCATGGTTCGTGGTCACTGATTCATATAGCACAAATTGGGCAGCAAGTTTTGGACCAATGCAAGTACGTCGAAGGTGCTGAGGGGCGTTACACTGATCGAGCGCAGTCACCGCTATATTGAGCTTTAGCTACAGGGCATGTGCGTTTGGAACGAACATGCATACCTTGCGTCATGAGGTGTGTTTGGGAGAGGAGTGGGAGTGGGAGAATACATGGAACAAACACGTGGCCTTTCACATATCATATAATGTATGTCTGACTATAATAATTGTTATCGACTCCTCTCAACGGTCCATGTTTAAAAATGTATTTCATGGTTGCATCATATGCATCAGCTGGTTGTACTTGTAAAGTTGTTCATGGTATCATATGCATCAGCTGGTTGCAAGCGTAAAGTTTATTGAAGAAACGCCTGTAGCGTAATACGATTTATCACCATTACCATTTACCCCATATTGTAGCTATAAAGCAAAGGAATACACCGACTAAACCTTACAAAATCAGTAGGTGCTCAAAAAGTACTTTTACAAACATGACAGGTCACGTCAGCAAAAATGGCCCTTGGAGATACCATCTGAATTTGTAGCGATTTGTAGAGAGCTATACATAGGCATTTTCCACGGGTACAGAGCTATATATGTCATGTTCTAGTCTATAAATAAACTGTTCAATGGGATCTTTGGCCCCAGCATGCCAAAACACCAACTATTCAACTCAATACCAAAGATGCATTTTGTATCATTTTGTAAGGACATGCTGACATGCTGCTGGATCTCCCTTTTTGCTCTCTCTGCCATCCACACTGGTTAGATCCAGTTCCGTCCAGACCCAAACCTATCCAAATCTCCAAACCTCACACCAAACCTGTCCGAATCTCACAAAAATAACTATATTGTTCCTTACACATGACAATGGACAATTGTTGCAAGTTCCTTACAAAATGATGGTGCCCAACCTGGCCACATTCTTGAGTCCCAAATGAGCAGCGAAATTTATTTGTTGTTAAACTCACACACGCTATCTATTATGTGGGAGCCCTATCTCGTTTGGACTACTTTAGTATTTAGTAGGAGGTCATGTCACAGTATCTCGTTCAGACTGCTTTGATAGCAGATCACAGTGTCTCGTTCAGACTACTTTAGCGCAATCAATCAAAAGTATCGCGTTTATGCGGGGCACCATCTCGTTCACCAGCGAATACTGATGTTGGTAGAGCATGCCGACTACTTTTGTAAACGCCAAATAAAAGTGGTTGCTCAAATATTCATACATCATGCCGTTCTTACAAAATGCACTTGTTGTAAGTGATGACAGTCTTACATAATGAGTGGTGCCAGCCTACCGTGACATCAAGAATTGGATTTCCTTACAAAAGAAAAAATAGATCCAACATGATCCAACAATGCTTGCCAATTGCAAGCAAGACAGAACCAAACAATATCTCAGAGGGTCCAACATCGAGTGATTATAGAGACTTCTGTTACTCTCTTACTCTCTCTCTCTCTCTCTCTGAGAGCCACTGGTGAGGGCGGTTGACGTCGCGAAGCGGCAAGGGGGGTTGGGGATCTCCCCGTAGCTCTTTGGCTCCTGCAAGGGGAACAAATCACCCCTGCTCCCTGGCACCATGTGCACCTGTTAGTCCGAGGAGCGCCACTTCAAAACATGGAATATGAGCTCCAATTCATGCTGAATCCTCCAAATCACCGCTCACATCCGCTCACTTTACATCTAATCGATGACCACCCAATAATTCCTTGAATGCTCCAAGCCCCTACAAACCAGAAGGTGATGCCCCACCCAAATTCACCTTTCTTCCACGACTCATGTGACTCATGTGACTCACATTCACCTCTCGTCTCGTCCAGGAGGCATCGAGAAAGCAAACCTCCGATCTGCTCACGGAGTTGGGCACATAGACGGACCCCAGCAGTCCCAGTAGCGATGAAGTGGTGCCCAAGATTCTGAGAGAGAGAGAGAGAGAGCAACCAAAACAAACCGATCCGGAGAGCCCAACAAGTAACGAACCTGATCTCCCGATTTTTTCCAGTTACAACCTGATCTCCCAGATGTGGAGGTCCGGTGGCCAAGGTCACTCCAATCGTCTGGGCGAAATGGTCCGAAGCCGTCCGAGGCTTTTCTGTCCGACGTGGGGTGTCCGGGGTGTTTTCATTGGTGTCTGAAGTAGGGTTGAAAAACATGTGTGACATGTGTGGTTATACATATTATGATATATTGTGATATCATAACTGATATCATATCAATTCATATCATATGATTTTGGAGTATAAAGTGGACGATCAACATGGAGCCCCTCGATTCATGAATTCAGTCCAGGATCAGAATCCACCACGACAGCTGGCAGACTTTCGTGAAGCCTACAGTTTCCACGAGCCATGGCACTGGCATGGGCAAGATGTCCACCAAGCAAAGTAGCATCGCCACCAGAACTCCAAAGAACCAGCCCACTAGCATCATATGCCATCCAGATCGTACAAGGAGAGTGAGAACTTTCCATCTGCCAGCAGTCAGCCATGTATGTGACAGGAAAGTATCGAAGCCGGGCACCTCGTGAGCAAAACTCGTCAACCAGCCGGAAAAAATCTAACTCTTTGGATCATTGATCTTGGCCGTCTCAAAGGTTGAATCCCCCATTCAAGGGGAATGACCTATGACTGACCTATGACCTCTTCGCTCGATGTGTGTCCAGAAACCCTTACAACACGAGACTCTTCGGGACGGCCGAGGCAGTCTGCGACATGCGCATCGCCTCCTTGCCCCGGGCCAGTCACCCTTACTTTGACAAATCATCTTCCAGGTTTTTGCGCATATTCAAGAAGATCCTCTCTTTGGATCCTATCCGTTCCAGAAAAAAATATCAACTTGTATGCACTGCTATGCACCTAAATGATTCAGAATGCTCTGGTTTTGCGCACTGGATTTGAAGGAGTAAGAATGCTTACGGTTCAACGTGCATTGCATTCACTATCTCTTTGATTTCCCAAAGTACCAGTCAGGGCCAGCTTTGATCAATCTATGTCATGCTAGCTTTTTGGATTTCCACATTCTTCTCTGCAAATCCTATTTGAGCCAATTTTGGCAGACCAAAATGAATTAACCAACGAGAAAAATACACCGCCAAACCCACCCACCAACTCTTCCACATCTCTCAAGAATGGCCGCAGCCCACCTGCTTGGAGCGTTGCCAAAGCTTCTTCCGGTCCTCCTCGCGGAGGTCCAGTGGACTCCAGCGCCACAAGCGGCCAAAGGACCTCAGCGACTCACGGAGGGTGATGCCACGCACGATCTCGGTGTCCACCGCCAACTGCTCCTGGGGATGGACCATGGCCGGTGAAGAAGGATCCATCGTTGTGATGAGCCCCGTTCGTAGCGAACCTTGTTCCTAGTAGTAAGGCCAGGAGCCGCGTAAGCTAGCGTCCGATCGCTCCGTTCGTAGCGATGCCAGGAGCCCCTAATAGCTTCTTGTTCCTATAGATCTAGACATTTCCAAGAAGGGGCATTCTTAGATGTTTTTGGAGTGAAGGAGGCCACCAAGCCAGGAAAAAAAGCAGGTGGATGGGTTCATCATGGTTCATCAAATCCAAAACTCACCATTCACTTATTGTTTGCCGATGAAAATAAACATCTTCGACGGACATCTTCGGCTCCATCTTCTCCAATCGCGAGGTCCCACTCATGGGCTTTTGCAGTCCGTGGCCCACCAGTGGTGACTCGGGCGCCGGTTTTGGTGTGACCTCAAGGGCAAGGGACCGGGCAAGGGAGGTCAGGTTTGGGAGGTTTGGGGAAGGTTCGAAACAACTGAGACAGCTGGGTTTTTGAGGATCTGCCCAAAAATCTGATGGGGGAGTGGATTGAAATGGATTGAAAGAACTGTCTTCTTTCAAAGGAGTCTCCACAATCATGGAGTTGGTACACATTCAGTGCCCATCTTTTATTCATCTTTTGGTTTTTGCTTGCGGCATGCTGGCAATGCATAGACAGATTTGGATGCAAACAAGACCGAATCCGTGAATGCAACTTGCTGAAACAGCCAAGTTGTTGGTCTTGACCCTCAAGGGGTTCACATCGAACCCTGGTGATCTGTACCTGAGGGAAGGTTAACTCCTGGTAACTCAATGACCTCCTCTGAATCATATCTGAATCCCCTCTTTGGAGCGGCCCTCCTCCCGCTAACGCGGGGCGGCCTTCATCGTGTCTGGCTCCTCCGCGGACGGCTCATCGTATTTGTGGAGCACCACTTCTTTCGGAATCTCCAGCGGCTCCTCTTGACAGCAACTGGAACCCTGCCCCATGCTGCGTCTGCTAAGCAGGGCCCAGGCCACAGCCGAAGTCGAATGTCTCTCCCACTTGGTGGGGAAGACCTTCGGCTTGAGCCAGCGGGGCGCCAGGTCCGGACTTAGAGCTCTAACGAGGCCATTTCTGATCCTGTGGAACATTGTTCTTACCAAAGCCATCCAATGGGTGTAAAATGTTGATCCCGATGTGGTGTAGGGTAGTCCAGCCAGGACACCTATTGGAGGGTCCTGGTATATAAGTGTTACCCAGGAGTATGCTCACTTGGAGGATGTTAACAATGTTAATATGCTTTTGGTCAGCTGCATGAAGAATGCATGCAAAAACAGTGAACAGAACAAGACATCCCGTGGTGCTTGAGATACCCAATGTATGTGATTTGTCCATGGCAAATAGCTATGCACAGCTTGTTGCTATCACAAAGAGTTCATTAGCACTTGTCGTCTGCCTACGTTGGGGTCCGTTGGGATCAATCCACGCAACCTACTTCCTGGAAGCTTGGCGGAGTCTGCGTGGGCTGGATCGCTGGCCAAATCCGCCAGCGGTTTTAGCCTCTGCGACCATCAATCACGTCACTGTCATGTCGAACGGCCTCAGATGCACCTTGAGAGATGTTTTCCTCAGCCTTTTGCGCCATCCTGAGACACAACCACAGAGGAGTGGAACGCCCTCTGGGTCTCGGCCCTGTTTGGAGCATGGTTTGGACTTCTTGGTGTTGGATTTGGGGACTTGACACGGGAAAACATGTAAGCACAACACCACGTTCCTGTTGCTGCTTCTGAAGAGGAACATGTTAACATGTTGTTCTTCTGCCCTCCTTGAGAAACACATGGAAGTGGTGTTCCACCACGTTGTCACATAGTTCACCAACTGCATGCTGCATGCTGCGGTCTTCGGAGTACTCCGATATGGACCATGGATTGCTCCGAGTCTTCAAGCGGCGGTCTTTTGTTGTTCGGTACCGACATCTGCAGGCATCGGTTTTGCTTGTAGTCATTGCAGAAAAACCCAAAGACCATGCAGCTGAAACAAAACAGGTGTACCATTGGATGAACTGAGGGGAAGGATCCACTTCTTGAAGAAGAGTCAGTGGGTTGCATGTTGTTTCATGTTGTTTCTGTTTGAGTCTCCATGCGCTACAGGTATAGTTATATAGATCCATTTTCTCCTTCTTGCGGGTTTTCACTGCAAGACATGTCACTCAACATCGGGCTCGCCGAACGCACGCCGAACGCACGCCCAACGTCGACCCGTCGGTCCAAGGCAATCCACGTCGTCCGTCGGCTTGGCCTCTCAGTTTCCTTCACAAACTCAGAGTTGGCCAGGTCGTCTCCGATCTGCACAGGGTTCTTTTCGTGAGATGCAACATGATCTTGCTGAAATCTCCGGGGCTCTGTGGCTCTTAGGAAGTCCATCTGTTTCTGGTTGGGACTGGGGGGGAAACCCCAGGATCTCATCTCATAAGTTTCCTTCAACTCTCGGGTGTCGGAACCATGTTGGAATGCTCAACAAACCACACTTTCCTGACCTGAACAATTCCAAGATCCAGCACCATCGTTGCCGTAGCTGCACAAAGATCTGCGTACATCCAAAAGTGAATCCCAAAACAGGCTCTGTGCTTTCACTATTTACATCAACATGAACATGCTCATCTTTCACTCCGGGTTCCCGTGATGTCAGCTAAAACTTCGGCTCGAGCGATCATATCCCAACAGTTTTCAAGTTGAAGTGAGATCGATTGAGCCCCCCATCCCCCATCTCCATCAACCCCAACTTGGAACTTGCACCCAGACGAACTCGATTGATCCTGGCATAGTTGCGCTCTTGGAACTGCCCCGGAACGAAGAAGCACCCTGCACTCGGCGGCGCCTTCTTGGCACTCTGCACCACACTGCCCCAGCCCCAGGACCTGTAGTTCTGTGAACCGGTGAGGTTGGACATGGGTGGACATGGTTACTCAGGATGAGAAGATTCTTGACCGACTCCTGCAGGTGTTTTTTTGCCTAGAACACCCCAGGATGTTGATGGATGTTGGACTCCATCAACCACATAGAAACAACTATAGTTCCTGCAAATTGGAGTTTGGGGTTCTGGCGATTCTCGTCTTCCGCCGACCCAAGACCTGGTGGATCTTCAGAGTTGCTCGGTGCGGTGGTAATCATCCAGGCCCACCATGGACCTAATCAGGTCTGCGGTGCTATACCATGTTATAAGGAACACATCCAAATAACTGCTTCTTTTTCTGTCCTATGCGCAGCAAGAAGAAACAGGCAGGATCTTCAAAATGGAACTGGCTTGGCAGCCCCAATCTGCCAAGGAGGCGAATTTGAGTATATGTGTTTACGTTAAAACGTTTTTCAAACTCAACACGTGTTATGCATGATATATGTGTTGTTCTGCTCTCTTGGAGCGAGCCCCGCTGCTCCGCACTTTGCAAGAAGAGCTCCAACTGCGGAATGGAACGCCAAAGTCTGGCTGCTTGGGCGCCGCTGCCCGCTGCACTGGGCAAGTCTATCCCAAAAAGACTATGTCAATAAACAACCAAAATATATACAGTATGTGAATATATTTCTATGCAGTCAAAAAGAAATTTGGTTGAAATGTTTAAGAGGCATCCGAGCAGCAAATGCTAAAGAGTGTTAAGTAGAACAAGGTAGAGGTGAATATGTGTACTTCCACCGAGGTTCACGCCACAACATCTGCATTTTGAGGTTCACAAACCGCTGCGCCTGCCACGGAAGCTGCATCACAAGGTTAACAAACTATTGCACTTCCACGGAATCTGCACTTCGAGGTTCACAAAGAGCTGCGCCTGCTACGAATTCTACACTTTGATATTCATATAAAGCGCTCACCTGCCACGAAATCTGCACTTCAAGGTTCACAAAGTGCTATGCCTACGACAAAATCTGCACTTGGCTGTCCACAACTGGTCCCGCCTGCAAGGAAATCTACATATCCAGCTTTGCATATCTACATATCCCGCCAGTCGTTTCGCAGCTTTTAAGCACTTTCACAAACAAGGTCTTTCGATGCCAAGACGGAGCTTTTGGGTGATATTTCTGCTAAAAAATGGACGGTTTTCCCAGCTAGACTCTAAACACTTGCATCAGCACAGGATCATTGAACCCTGGCCACTGTGCTTGCAGCATAGCTTTTGCTAGAGCGTGGCCACCGCAAGCAGCACAAATTAGCTGACCACTAACAGCACAGGGCGCATTGAAGCCGGGCTCGGAATTAGTTTGATGTTTGGTCTTTAAGGAATCAAGGTTTTGCTGCAAGTTGGAGTTGCTCGTTGCTGTATTGTTATCTTTTGGTGGCCCACAAAGACTAAAGATATATGCACCAAATTGGAATTTCTCCTTTCTGCTCTAAATGTTACCCTCGGGTGGCCCGACAACTGCTATGCTGTTTGAATGCTTTGGTACATTTTCAGGTGTGATATGATATATATATGTATATATTATATTCGGTCCGGATGGTTGTAAGCCTTCGGTTTTGGGGTCTTCTCGTGGGTTTGTTCTTCAATTTTATTCTGAGCCTCTCTCATGTCTACTTTCCACTTCCTTTTATCTACATAAAGTCAAGCCTTGTGTACCCGATCTCACTGTAGATCAAGGGGCATGGAGTAGCAATGGATGTGTTACGTGTCGCATTGAGGAAACAATGTGTGTGTTTTGCTTTTCAAAAACAAATGATGGTTGATTGGAATTAAGTACTATTTTGATACGAATCGTATGTTTTCTTGATAGGTATCCCACTGCGCTGATCGCTGGTCGCTGGGCACGAGTTGATCCCAGGCACACCCAGCTCTTGGCGGCGCCAAGACCATTCTGCACCTTGTCCATGGGGAATGCCTCAGAGAGTGAGATCATGTAAGTTCGCCGCGAGAGGAATGACTCCATGATTGCAATGTATATTCCAGCATTGCTTGCAATTGCGGGTACCAACTCGTGGGGAGCTCCGAAAAGCTGAAGATCGACCTCGTAGGGTTTGCATTTCTGGTCTAGATTCCTTGAAGGTCGAACTCGGGGGGTCTCCCTATTCCAAGGCAAACCCAGCTACAGAATCCTCTGGCTATCTGACACGACCAGTCCATTCCATGCTTTGCGTTTCCCCACAAAACCCCCCAGGCCCAGGCGGCCCAGGCCTCACTGAGATGAGAACGTTGTTTTTACATGGGGAATCCTTGAAATTCTTAAAGCATCGCACGACCTTGAGAAGGCCATTGATCCCTGCTCAAAGTCACATCGCTGGCATCACCCATCCGATGTTGCTCCCACCAGCCACACACTGGATCAGGCCCGAGCCCCAGCTCAAAATCAGCGCGCCTCCTGCATCATCTTCTGCATGCCAGGTGCTTCATCAGCCTCCCTGTGCAAGTCTTGGCCCAGTGATCAAAGAACCAAAGAACAAACCTTGATGACCAGAGATCACCCGTGAAACACCGTCAATGTTCAGCTCCGGCTGTGTCTACAGCTGCAGGCTTTTGTGACACCATGGCCCCGGTGTCGGCCGGACAATCCTTCCACCGTCTTGTCCCGTGGTTTCTTCGTTCTGCGGTGCCGCGCCTGGACGTGGATTCGCCCAATGGGATGGAGGGAGCAGACTCACCTGGGGAGAGCCAGTTCTCAGTTTCCGAGTTCCGGAAGGTCATGACGATCTCGCGACGAAGCACATGGGCACCTGAGGGCACCTCATGACACCCCTGTGAGGCCTAACATGTCGATCCCTATCCTGTACAAATCAGGATCCCATGATCAATACTGTGGAATGATATTATGATATGGACGGATCTACTGTGGGGACCTCATACCGGCACCTCCTCCGACCCACGACAACCACGGCTGACACCCACGGCAACTCCTGACACCCACGGCAGCATCGCTTTCTGGGACCAGCGGCTGCTGGCGGATGGCGGCACGTCATCGTCGTCATCATGCGCGATGGAGAACTCCTATTCCAGTGAAGAACAGCGCGCAAGGGTGATGAAAGGTGTGTTCCTGGAGCCTTTTGGTGTGACCCTGCGTCACCAAAAGGCAGATGGAAAACGGTTTTAGGCGCAACAACAGCTGGCCCTTCCGTGTTCTTAGTGTGTTTTCTCAGGTGGAAGATCCAAAGATTTCTTCTGAGTTCCTCCAAAAAAATTGCTGTTGTCCATATTTCTGAGTATGCACCTTCGCTGCAGGAATCATTGCAACTATCGGCAACTATAGTGTTACATTATGCTTGCAGTCACCACCAGCTTCTCCGACCAAGTCAATCTTCAGAGTCAGAACGGAAACGCAGTACAAAAGGGATAGAGCAAGTTGGACGACCCACCCAGACCTCACCCCTCATACCAGCCGATCCCAACCACTACTAGACCACTACCCATCCCATTCTGAAAAGAGGACATATCAACAGGGATAGCCATAGCAGCGCCCTCAAACTTTGACCATCCTGACGTCCCCCGGATCCCTTCTTCCGAACCTGCGGTGAGCCGGGCGACGCCTGGGAAGCTGCGCTGTGGAGATCATGATCTGGTGGGCGACTGGTGTGGTCATGGTGATCCAAACAGATCCCAACCACCAGAAATGCAATATTTGCTTAATTGATGCTTTTGTTGGATAGGTGGTTGATGTTTATATCTGTGCACATTGAAGAGTTCTTGTTTGAGGAATGTCATGGAACCTCTATCTCGAACCCACAAGATCTAGAAGACCTCTTCAAGCTGCCAAACCACTGGTTTTCATCCCACGATGAGACTCGTTCGTGAGATGTCACATGATGTCAGATTTCCGAGCAGAAAACCGGATGAGGTCGACCAGCTCGGTCGACCAGCTCTGAGGTCGACCGTGAAAATCGATCATCCCAATGGTTCAGGACTCCACTCTGAACCACAAAAAAAACGGAAAAGAATTACATACAGCATACTACAGCCACATCAAGCATTTTGCACTCATTTTTGACCTGTGGACAGGCCAAAAACAGATTTTTCGACGTCCCACTTGTTGGCCCTCATCAACGGCGCAAGTCGAAGCCCCGAAGCCCCCGTTCTTTTTTCGTCGACGAAGCGCGGTGGGACGATGCTCCCCGAAGACGGCGGAAGTCTTGGACTCGCCGCGGCGAAGAGCTTTCTGAAGAGCTGGAGTTCTGTCACACCTTTCTGCGTTGAAAGCCATTCCAGCCCACAGAACTAGACAAAAATTGACCTTGTTTTCGTTTCTCTTGAGCACATCAACAATTGTTGATGTGATGACAAGGAGTGAATGGATACAACATGTCGATTCAATCACTGTACACACTGCTGGGCTGCACACTTCTCAGCAACATCCGCTTCAGCATCAACGCGAGGCCCTGCACCAGCAGCAGGCAGGTGACAAAATAGGCCAAGGAGGTCCAAATACTGTAGTTGCTGGCCATGGTTCCAAGTGTGGTTCCCAAGTTCCAAGCCACACCATAGTAGATCCAAATCAGAAAAGTTTGAACCTGTTCATGTAAGCAGCTGAAGCATGCACACTTGGCCAGCCGTTCGGATAGAAGACTCACCGACTCTAAAAGAAAGAAGCAAAAGAAGAAGTCTGTGCCCACAACCATCCCCAGAAAGCGGGACACCAAGGCTTCTGGAGGTGCTTGCCCCATCCACAAAGAGAGGCATTGCTCCAAGCCTGCGGACACTGGAGCAGTCACGATGATGAGTCCATAGCCCAAATGAGAGCTTCGGTTGGTCAAGTTGCGGATGAGCTCCGAAGCTAAAGGTCCACGGACATAATCAGTGAACTTCTCTTTGCTTCCATACCAATGAAGGATCGCAGCCTCGTGGGGGGTGAACCCCCCCCATGGAGTTCACGCATGTGAGCGCAACCCCATGTGATCTAACGAAAAAGAACCATTTGGAACATCACTATATAGTGAGGTCATGAACTGGTTGGAGAGGAAAGATCCGACTTTCTGGCAGGCGATCAAATTCCCTTCCCCAAGGTGTTTTGGGTCCCACAAAACCCATAGCCAGTCAAAAATTGCTACTGAAAAGGGAGAAGCCCACATATATAACCCAAATGCTGCTTGTGGTCAAACGATATATTGCAAGTCATATAAGTTTAAAACCACAAAAGAGCGATACTGAGTGACCCAAGCAATACATGTTCGGTTGAATGGAGGTTTCGAGAATAACGCCTTAGAGGTTAGCCATTTGAATACAACTGAATTTGGGTAGATCGAGTGACTCAAAGCAAACTAGCAAACCCGAGATCCAACATTGCAGTTGCACTAACCCAAAAAATACATAGTTCGGTAATGTTCGGTATAGGTCAAAAATTGCCCCAGCAACACCTAATTGATTCTGCATGAGTGACGAATAAGGCAGCAGTGATTCCACTGCATTCTACGATGATTATCAAATATTATCACTATCACATACTATCATACAGTATCAGTACTTAGCAAAAATATGTGGAACGACAACATGATCAAAATGAAAAAACACACAAAACACACAAAACACAAACAAAAAAACACACACACACCATTGTCACACCCCAGTCCTCAATAAATCCTCGGTCGAAACTACTGCGGCACTGCGCTTTCTCCACATGGAATTCCCTGAGCTCCGTCAGAAGTTGGCGTCGAAAATGCGTTTGCCTCCGAATGACGTGAATCGCAAAGTAGGATGGGATCAAGCCAATGGCCTGCACGAATCCTGAGGTTTTCGTCGTTAAACAGTGAAACATAGTGAAACAAATACGGTTGACCTATACCTGGTTTAGGTCGTAGTTCCCTATATGGTGGATCAAAACTCCAGGCTTTTCACGTGGTTTGACCTATCCCTCTTCAGCGTCTTGTCCCCCAAGCATTTCAAAATAACTGCAAAGGCCTCCAACCTATATAATAGCAAAAGGAACCTAATAGCAATGGCCTCCAACCTAAGAGCGATGGCCTCATAGTGGCGTTGTTCAAGCTTGGACAGTCGGATCTTGCCAGGCTTTGACGAACCTACCTACTGGACCACACCTCGACACTACCGAGGTCCGGCTGCTGCTGCTGCTTCCCCCCACTTTAAGGCACTGCATCACTGTCACATTCATGGACAATGTCCCCACATGGTGATTGCGTATTTCTCAAGATTCTAAAAACATGTTTTCAACCCAACTGTCTATAGTAGGTGAGGCTCCGTGCAGCACATGGGTCTCTTCAACCCAAAACAACGCTGCTTGAGTGCAGGCTGTAAGGACCACAAAGGATGCATAGAGCAGGAGAACGCCCACTTCTGCATCCACCGGGTGTAACGTAATCTTGCCCGTCGGATTGGCTGTTCGAAAAGCGGCCACTTCAAAGACACACCACAACCTCGTGAGGTATTTTTGGCTCCACAGAACTCCTCAGATCGGACATGAAATTGATGAATGCCATCTGGCCAGACCAGTCTGCTCAGTGATCTTATAAAACGTGCGTTCCGTCTCATGCACGCAAACTCGGATGTAGGGAAGAAAGTGGAAAACATGGAAGAAAGATGAAGAAAGATAGATGTGATTCGATAGATGTCATTCAAAAAGTGCTGTCACGCACAACGCCTGTTGAACAGAACCAAACTATATAAATCCGCCGGCCACTCCTAGGCCGGGTGGCGCCTGGGACAGCGCAACGAAAAGCGATTGCCTGTGGACTCCTCTATTCCATGCAGCCTCCGGACCACGCCAAGGAAACGTACAGCCTGCTTCTTGCAGCTACCTCGGGCTTGTCCTGGACTACACTTTCTATGGAGTTCCGAAGGCAACGTTAGAGACTGGGAGCGGTCGCCCCCTGCCCCGTTGAAACCTCCAGGGCCAGAGTGTTTCGTTTCGCCTGGCAAGGGCGAGGTTTTGGCCTGGTCCACTGGGGCAACCTTTGTATGCAAAAAAGATCCATAGTAAGGTCAAAAAACCTGCTTTTGGGAGCTGTCATGTGCAATATGTAACTTTGTGTGCTCTTTGGGGATCTTGACTTCCACCTCGTGTAACAGCTCACAATACGACTTTGGGCATTCCAACGATTGATGAAGGAGTAACTGTTGGATGCGCTGCAACTTGCAAAATTTGACAAACAAGTCTATGGCGGAATTTTGCGGACTATGGCGGAAATTCGCAGACATATTGCAGAAACCTGTGGACGGGAAATTTGCAGCAAATTGGATACCTCACAAACACTTCAGCTTGACCAGGCTGGTTTTGAAGCCCAATCCTCCGCAGAAACCTGAGAAGATTATTGGGTGGTCCAGGTCTCTGTATATCTTTCTATGTGGCTCCAAAGGCGACATTAGACCCTGTCAGCCGTCGCCCCGGCCCCGTTTTAACCTCCAGGGTCAGGGTGTTTCGGTGTGGCGACACTGAGGTGTTTGGCGTGGCGACGTTAGACCCTGGCATGGTGACCAAGGAAGATCGAAAGGAATAGGGCACGACGGAAACCAAAGCAAAGGTGCAGATTTGTTGATCCTTTTTGTCTATACTAGTTGAGTTGCCCCCAAACAAACTAAGGAGTGTGCTTTGTGAGGACCTGCTGCTGTGGTTTGGCAACTGGAATGCGCTTTTTTGACTTTCCTTGCATCATGTAGGCTTTCGGTGGCCCAACGAATGCTTTCCCAACAAAAGGGGGGTTGGCAGCACCTGGGCGTTAGCCCATTCTATTCATTAGAGGTCCCAATGCTGATCCTACGCTAGTCCTTTATACAGTGACAGCAAGCCATCTGCAACACAAACGTCAGTTGCGACACCCTTGCAAACAAGCGATTCTGGTAGCTGAGGTTCCGTATAGGACGCGTTTCTTGTTCCGCACTGGAAACACATGGAAAGCTGTTGCCAAATACATTCTAGCAAACACAGTTGAAGATCAACGATCCTCATCCGCACAACGGGTCACAATACACACCACGGCTAGCTGGATCAACCATTCGGACGGGCCATCACGAACGGACGCGCTACACGAACGCATTGGTCGTGGCCTCTGTCGCCTCCGGTCTGCATTGGGGAACCGCGTGCGACCGCCGGGTGCAAAGGCGGTCGAAGACGCGGCAAGACTTATTTGGCTTCGCAGGGGCAAGGCAACGTTGTATACAACCATGCACTCCCAGACCCCACACGCAGGCATCTGGTGGGCGTGGCTCAGGCCTGTCTCTCTTGTTGCTTCACACACAGAAGATCGTCCAGTCTGTGATTGGGACAAGGTCCCAAGCACCATGGACTCGCCACCGAAACGCATACGCGCAGTCCTTTGGGAGCGAACAAAGCAGGCAAAGCATGAAGAAGAAGCTACGAACGGGGCGCAACTGGCCTTACTACGAATGGAGCGTTCGGACGCTATGAACGGGGCGATCGGAGGCATCGCTACGAACGGTACTAACTAAGTTACAAGAAGCAGGCAAAGCAGGCAAAGCAGCAATTATCCCCCTTCATCCCGTGTTCGTTTCCATGCTGGTGGGAACCATCCCATTTCGCTTGCCGGTGCAATCTAGCATAGCTAGCCATCAAGAAGTAACATGC